GGCTCCTCAGGCCGTACCTCATAGCCAGCCTGCCCGTAACGCACTCGCTTTCGTCCTACTCTCCACATAAGGTTGCCGATGGTGTCGTTGGAGCTTCCTTTCTGAAGAAGCGGTGCCCCAAAAGCTTTAGCAATTTCGAGTGCGTCCGTCGAAAAGCTGCGACCGAGGCGATGCCATCCGACTAGGAGGAATGCTATGACAATGACTTCGACAGACAGGCAGCCAATAGCCAGACCCAGGTAGTTATAGTGCGATCTATAGATAGATATAAACTTTGTTTCTGTGGCGGCGAGGCCTTGCGCCGATACCGCTGATGGGTTAGCAGCCGACTGGGCGATGGCGCTTCTGAACATGAGCTCGCGGATCGTGTTGATGATGTCAATCGTAGGGTCCTCCCAGGTCATACTGCATGTCCCGTAAGTAGACAGGTTCGAAGTGATGTAATTACTGATGGCGCCCGCCGACCCCGAACTCGAAAGAGACGCAGAAGAATGCGGGGCGTCTCCAGGCGCTCCTGCTCCATTCACATAAGTCTGGGCGTTCGCTTGGGCGTTTGCTTCGTAGAGTGATTTCGCGACGCTGAGGATACCATCCAACATCTGTAAGAATATGCTACCACGGCCGTCTGATATCTCCGGGCCGGTGCCTGGCGCTGAGGTAGCCGCGCCATTTGTCATACTGACTGTTTCGTTATCGCCAAGTTGCCATGCTTTTAGTGTTGCCGTGCCGTTTGACAAGGTAACGGGATATGCAACAGTGGCCAAGCGTAACACACATTGTCGTGTGGTCGTGGCTCCGTTACAATTGGAATAATCCGTGGCCATCTTCGGCAGGCTTGTTTGTGCGGTTGTGAAAAGGTTCACCTGCCATCCAGAGTCACTCGAATACCCTTTGTTGATTGACACGTTGAACAGAGTCATCGCCGGGCTTTCAAGTCCCCACCCATATGGTTTCGTGGTCTGGTTGCATGAGATATCAAAGCCAGCAGCGGGGATCTGGGCAACGCAGGTGCTATTGGCACCACAGCTTGTGTTTCCAACCAAGTGTATTCGGATGGCTGCGCGGTTGGAGTACTCGCGATTGACGCTGCCGAAGAGAGGTGTTAGGAGGGAGCTGCTGCCGACTGCTGTTTGCGAATTATATTGGCTGAAATTCGCAGGCAAGGTGTCATTTGAGATAAGCACGGTAATATTCGTTGGTGTTGGAGCAGAGCTTGTCAAAACAACGCCAGATGCTCGTTGAACGAGAGGGCCGTCGATGATTCCGATTGCCACCGATAAAAATGCTGCTACTGCGAACAGATCAAACGCAGGTGAGGTGAAAACAGTGGCGAGGCTAGTCTGAATGGACAGGTCGAACTGCAACCTTTGCATGGTGGTTCCGTCCAAGGCTTTTTGCCACCAAGCCACCGCATAGGCTTTGGTCAGAGCAATACTCAGGCACAAGCTGGCGAGATTGGCGACGAGGGCAAGTAGTACCGAGACAGAAATTTCCATATCCGGGCGAGGCCAAGTGTTTACCTCGTGTCCGTCTGATGATGCTAGAATTCCTGCCAGAGCCCCGCAACAGATTCCAAAGCCCGTGAGACTGAGCATCGCCAGCCATGGCATGCGCTTCCAGAATCCAGGCTGCCACGGGATTCCGCGGTCTGACTGATCTTTTTCAGCGGCCATTGCAAATGATATTAATTATTGAAGACCTGGGCGCCTCGATAGGGCAAAAAAGCGAAGCAATCTGTCTTGGCAGTGAAACCCGACCAGAAACGGGTTCGGATACATAAAAGGTGAGTGTCTAACTTTTATATCAGGGGAGCTTGAGATCATGAGCCTCAATCCGCCGCTGCTTCGGGGAAGAAGTGTGGTACTCAAATTGGGTGTATTGTATTCGTATTTCATTCGGTTGTTGGTTGTAGAAGTAAGGCTGCAGTCAGCCTGGGCTGACTGCAGCCTTCGAGTTAGGCTCGAAAGGGTGGTCTTTGCATGGTTAGCTGACGCTGCACACCACGCTTCTGCAACCAGAACTAAGCTATCTAGGGCCTAGTGGTTGCACCCTATGGTTGTTGTCACAATAGGGCAGGTGTTTGTCAGGTTTTTGTCAGGTATTTGTCAAATACTATTGAGACTGTATCAATCTTGCTGGGGAATATTCCACTTTGATCTTCTGGCGCAGCAGACAGTTCTCAGCTGGATTTTTCAACATGCCAGCCCACTAGGGGCTATGCTGCTGACCACCCACAGTTAGCATTTTCAAATTCCATATTGCTTGTGTAGATTCATATTTATTTCTAAAGAGGGGTAAACCAGCAGTAAGAATAAACATAGGTATACTTACGACTTATATGCTCAGCATATTCTTTAATAATTAGCAGTAAGCTGTGTCTTGGCTCTTCCAGTCTGTCGAGATCGCTTTCAGAGAAGTTAAACGAACTCTCTTATGAGTTTATCAATGGCTAAGTCTACTTTGACTTCCGGTTTGACCAAAATATGGAGACGACAGGAGAGATGAAGCTTCAACTTTGGGTCGAGGTTCGCGGGAAACCCGGACAGAGTCCCGTGCCGGATGACCTCTTCCTCTTTGCCGCCGTTGACAAGCACGACGTAAAAGGAAACCCGGCCCGCTTCCACGGGTCGGTCGAATTCACTGACGACTGGGTTACGCGAGGATTTTGCCGAGCTTCATGTCGTGAGCTGGAAGAGGCACTTCCAAAACCGTGGCTACCCGTCAGCTCTGGAATCTCTAACCGGCCCTTTCGACAAGGCGAAATTGTCCAAGTCGACATCGCACTTTATGCAAGCAGTACATTCTTTTCGGCCGGAGAGTCTATTCACCTAGTAATATCCGGCCAAGAAATCATACGCAATCCGCCTTACTACAAGAAAGTGACAGCTGGCCCCGAGACGTGCGTTGTAGACGTTGGCGGGAAGTACGATAGCTTCTTATTGGTTCCGGAGATCTTTTCGTAAGTATCACGGACCGAAGTCAACTGCGACTTTGAGATCACAATGCAGGACAAGAAACGCATCAACTCCGCTTAGGTGGTGGTTGTTTGTTTGTACGATAACGGGAGGTTTACATGGACCCTATTTCCCCCTTGGATTAGCTAGGTACCTACATTTGTGGGGGTTCAGTGGGATAGGCTTATTTGAATTCCGAATGGAATATCTCTCGTAGAGGAAAGAAACGATGACAGCACGTTTACTAAGGTAGTCAACCCGTTCTCACGAGCACCCCACACTTAGGAATAAATCAAGCATATTTATGCCCTTTGACCTGAAACCTAGACTTGAAGATATTTCGTGACTGCGGCCCTTAGTACCATACGGCCTGGTAGACGCGACAACCCTAAACTATTGAGCATTGAGATCGCGGACAGCGTTAGACGGACCAACTCACGACTATCGCCAAGATATTTAAGGCATACGTACGAAGTATTCCTCAGCAAGACCTAGTCGTTAATGATTGAGAGTCATATAGTGGCCAAATTTTTAAGACACTGGAGCCTACAGCCTCGGTATCCTGCTTAGCAGTGTAGCCCCTGGGGGAGCCTCGTGGCAACCTCGAGACTTAGGTGGTGTGTTACACAGCAGGAGCCTTACCTGATTCTACTCGGCTCTTATCACAAACAGCCCTTCAACCAATTATGCCACACCTGACAAGTAAATCCTACCCAACTCCGTCAGCAAAATCTCGTATATCTGCATTGTATTGGGCAGTGCTGGGCTGACCAGGTCACCAGAGGGAGGCCGCCACCCAGGCTGGTGCGGGTGCCCTCGGCAAAAATTACAAATGGTCGCGCCCAACCAGTCCATCCCCCATGGTTTAACAAGCTATGTAAACGAATACATTTTTGACCTTTGAATTTGCGCAGCTCTGCTGGGCCGGTCACTCCTCCAGCTTCCAATAACCGTCGAAACCCGATCCTTCATACCGTGGCACACGTGTCATATAGACCAGCACAAAGCCATGTCTTCACCCGACCAGAACGCAACAAGTTACTTCAAAGATATCGGAAACTTTCTGGATGATAAGATTCTACCAACCAAAGCTACTAGCGATGCTGATAATTGGTACTTTAAATGCACTCACAAGATTCACGATGAATGGATGAAGAACAATGCGACTAGCCAAGAGAGTATTGCTGAAGGTCTAATCATGAACATACATGGCACCAGGCTATTGAACATAGAAGAGAATAAAAGAATTATCAATGATTCTTGGGGGGTCAGTGTTTCTCTCTGCAGGCAATACTGCAGTCGCGATCACATCAAAATGGTAAGCTTCATAATCATGTCTGATATACTTACTGTGAGACAACCGCCAACGTTACTTGATCTCAGGCCACGAACTTCAATCGCATCGCCGCCGGGTCAACAAGCTATCTTCTACCATGGCTAGCCCTCACTGCGCAGCTGCCGTATGAGACGGGGGGCACAGGGTCTGACATTTTGAGTGTTTGCGTTGGGCTTGGAAGCCCCATGCTTATGACGATTTCCCTTATGATCACGATTCTGAACAAGACTTGGATTCGAAAGGCATTCAGGAGGCATCGACATCAAAGGCCGAACATGTCAGGAAGAGCAAAAGCTGCTGTTATCATTGCCGAAGCTGCGCAACAAGCTCCCACTCGTCTTGTACATGTACTGAGAGAACAATCACTGGCGAGCCAGCTCTTTCTGAAACAGCACGAGAAGTGGTGGAAAGATGCTGGAGATCAGCTAGAGTCGACTCGTAGAGGGGTGACCCTGTCACTCGTGGCTCAATTATCAGTAGCAATCATAGCTTGGATTCTTACAGCGGTAGGGTCCCTGAAAACGAAAGTCGGCGACACAGAGGAAGCTCTGGTCCTTTCCTCGGGATCTCTTTGGATCTGGTTGGTATGCAATTCTCTTTACCTGCAAGAAAACTGAGAGTCAGGCAAAGTCAATGCTAACGGCGAAATGATCAAGGTTCCCGTCATCTTGGGCTGGATCCTTGTGGGCACACAGAACAAAGCGGGCACCATGAAACCAGTACTCAGTACTAGAACCGGTGGCAACAGATATCACCCTGGCATTGAAGTCGCAGATGGATTTCTTGCTAATCCACCATCGGGATCCGCTAATGCTCAGAATACGTCAAGTCCGAATACAAGAAGTTCACCCACCCCAAGAGTACTAGGGATATTCGATGTCGCCGGATTCCAGAAGCAAGAAGGACCAGCCTTCAATTATGCACGGACCCTGACCTGGATGAACTTCGCCAATAATCTCCTTGTCGCATTTGACGATGCTCCTAGTTCGCACGAGTTGATTTCGCTCGGTGCACAGCAAACTGCCGATGCTCAAGTCAATTCACAGCAATCTCCCAGAGGATCTGAAGCTAGTCTCCCAGGTCACAACAGTACTAATGGTTCTCAAAGTCATTTATATGAGTATTCGAATTTGGATGAGCTCTCTGACGCAAAGCCTATCTTTTGGAAAAATGTCGCTGTTTCGACACTCATGGGTGTCCTGATCCAATGGGGTACCACGATGCTTGCATTCATCCTGGCCTTTGAGACCGTCGTCAAGGGTCTGGGTTGCAGGTCGGGGAGCTACCTCATCTATGGCGTCCTATCTACTGCAGCGTGCATATTTTTACTTATTTCTGCAGCACTTTCACACGTCACCATGCGAGAATACGAGAGGAAACGTTTGGCGGAGCCACAACGAGAGAATGGGAGGGAAAATAAGATTGGGCCAGGAGCACATATCAGCGGAGCTTTTGCGGTCTTCTTTCGGTTACTAGGATGGTTCTTGCTTGTGGCTAACACCATATGGCTTCTGCTGATCTCCATATGGGAGCTCATTGGTTTCTTTGACAGCTGCTACTGTGCGTCGACGGAGCTTAGTAAGAAAGAAGCTGGTTGGATCCTTCTGTTCAAAGGCACGGATGCGCTCAAGGAAGATGCGCAAGCAGCATGGGGAGTTGGAATTGGTTTGGGATTCGTTCTCATTTTCGTGGCAATCGCTGTCTTTTATCTGGCATCTCGGCATAAACATGAGTAGTGCTACTGATAAATCAGCGTAATCGGTCTGTCTGAGTGTGGGGTGGAGACCGGCTCAATTTCTTATCCACGTCTACGCCACTATATGTCCTATACATGATGGATTTGAAGCTTTAGTTCGACCAGAACGGTAGTAACGATGACTAAAATAAGAGGAGAAATGAGTATAGGAAGACCGATAGAGGCGGTTAGAGATAGCAATAATAATGAATAGCAGCGATTACGTCGACGAATACCTTTCGATAGCGAGCATATGCAGCGCCCACCCCAAGGCAATCAATCAAGTTTGAGGGTCATAATTGACTTGATTGACTGGCGATGGCCTCATAATTGATTGATTGATTGATTGAACTTGACAAGTTTACTTGCCTTGGGGTGGGCGCTGAGCATATGAGAAAAGAAGTTGTTCTAGCTTGGGAAAACGGATGGGCTCGTAGGAAAAGTCTAATTGTGTTCGTTGAAGCAGTATACTGAGCCTGCAGTAAATCCACAACAGCGTGTGACATTCATTGTTTGACGGCCTGTGTTGTAACCCTCCAGGCCACGACTGGTTGTGGCTTCACCCACAAGAATCAGGGCAACGCTATATATCCAGTCTCCGTCTCACTGGTTGACGTGCAGCTTTGCGGGCGTTCGGGACCGCTGTCACTTCGGGCGTTAACAAATCATCCATGGAGAATGGCAGGAGACGCCCGCAGAGCCCCCCTATTTGGGAGACATCCTACGTGCGGACTGGGGAGATTGATCCACGACGGCAACATGCCTCCTGTTCATTGGCCTGGCAGGATGGGTGGCCGTCCATGTAGTGCGCCATTGCGCCCGCCGAACTGTATCTCGAAACCTGAGATCAGGGAATGCTCCTGCGTGAAATGCTAAGGGAGAGACGGTTTATATATATCCCATAGAAGAACCAGAGGTGATTGATATCTTGAATTCGTTACTCCAAAAGTGAAAGACTTGTGAGCTACACTCCCGAGAGTAAGACTGCCCGGCTTATCTAAGTTGTCTTCCGACGCAAAAAGGCATCACTCAAGATATTGGCGACCGTTGCAGGTATTGTTCGTCTTGCCCCGACTATCTAGATCTATCTACTGATATGTCTCAACAGGGGCAGGTCACGCAGTCTCTTCGTCTTGTTGCTGTTCAAGACCGATCACCTATGTACGATATCGGACAGATGCAGACAAGTGACCCCTTCCCCTCGACGAAATGGAGTTCTCCTAGACACCGCCAAGGAATCAAAAGATGCGAAAGGCCACGGGCAGTTGGAACCTTGAAGCAAAATTATCTTCCGATAAGAAAGGCTCAATCCTGTCACCACGGTTGACAACATGGAGGATTGCTACCGACTTCGGAGCAAGTCTCTTCCCACCGGCGACTTTGGGGCTCAAAATTGGTCAATCCAACTGCCAGATTCGGAAACGTCATTTTTGTCTGGCCGTTGGTCGTCCTCTTGCGTAGAAAGAGCATGCGAGCTCTCAAGCCCAAGGACAAACAAATCCCACGTCGACGTCACGACAGACCGCCGGGCATGGGAGTCGAAGTTGGCCGAAAACCCCGCACACCTACTGACATGGGCTGCGATAGGCGAAGCTTGTTTCCACACCCAGCTCTCAAATCAGCATGGCTAGCATTTGAACTGCATGTTCGGCAGCGAGGGCCTTATTGTTTACCTATCAGCACCTATGCGAGCTTATCATGATCCATAACCCGGGATCCGGCCGGGAAGTGGGAAGTGGGGCTGGGATCGCGGTCACCCCCCGAATCCACTGCACTTCGTTACTTATTCTTCAGGTTTCTTCATTGAAGTTCATCTGGTAAGTCCTGACTCAACTGTTTGAACCGCTAAAGTAAACTAGACTTATTGACAGGTGGAACTTTGATAGATATCGCACCTTTCTATTCGTCCCCCCGCCCCGCGCGAATTTCGGCGGACGACGTGTTCGAGCTCTCATCTGGGATGCCAGGCTTGCCGGTTGGCTAGGTAGTCCGAGATAAGAACGGGAGATAAGCGGACTACGACGTCAACTTAGTCTCTCCAGCATTACGTATGCTTCATCTCAAGGATAACCTTACCTATCGGGTGAGAGGCACACCAACGGCTTCGGCCGTTATGGGATCAATGGCCGCCGCCAACCACGTGGGGTTGAAGCGAAGACTCCGGCCAGGAATCTCATGCGCAAGTCGCAACAATCACTACCAATTCGCGAAGCGACCGCTTGGTTTTCCTATGCTTGGGCGACTGCTTTTCCTGTGGGCTTATACTCATTCATTAGTAGTCACGTTGTTATCGTCATCGTTATCGTCGTTGTTATCGTTGCCAGTCGTCGTCATCCTTCGTCGTTGATTTTTCTATTCTTTCATCCCTTCTACTTTCGTCATCCCCGCATCAAGCTCACGGACATCTTTCGACCCCATATGCCCAGCCTCTCCGCATGGCCGGCAATGCTGGACCCGTTCATCCACCCGATGAGCCAGGACCGGCCCTGGAGGAGAACCCGCAGGACTGGGCCCGAAGATAACGAACCGATAATCCGTTTCTTCACGGCCTGCAACAAGAATGCCGTCGATTGGTCGAGTGTTTCGTCTCGGACCTACTATCCAAGTTCGGCCTTGGTCTTATCAATCGATGCTCCGCAACAACGCGTCCTGGTCATCTCGATAGCCAAGCTGGTGGCAGGCAAACCAACGGCCAAGACTGACCGAACAAGCGTGTTCGGCAGCACATCAATCTTGTAGCTTTCCTTTGGTATGAATTGCGATCGAACATTCCGCTGGCCGCGGCCCGCGATATCAGCATCCCCTGGCTTGTCTACCACGGGCCGGAGCTGAATCCAGCAACTCTGTGCGATCATCCCGCTTGGAGGTGGGGTGCATCACAAAGGTTCCTGCATGATAGCGAGCCCGGCCACAAAGCTCGCATTTCAATATCTGTCGGAACGGCCTGGTGTTGAACCGAATTCCACAGATGAGGCTCTCGTTGGTTGGCGGCTCGGCCTACCGTTCAGGGTTAGTCAAGATCAGGATATGGAGGTTGGCTGCGACATGAAAGCCCGCTGTCAGTCTATAGTCTAATGGAGATATTCTAGATTCTCGGTGATACGGCTCCATCACCGGTGTCGGGATTGGCCAGTATTGCGACATCATCGCCGGATGTCTCGCCGATGGCGTCCAGAGAGAGTTCAGTACATAAAGACCACCAGCAGTCTCACGTAGAGATGGGTTTTCAGAGCCTCAAGCGCCTCTTTGAGTATTCCATCCTGCCTGACAAGACAACTGCATTCAGACAAGATGGGCCTCTCTTCGCTCACCCGCACCCTTGGTCTGGGAGCCTTGCTTCTGCTCGGCTCTGACATCATCCCTCAAGTCAATGGCCTCCCCAAGGCCCCATGGGCTCAGCAGCGCGCCAAAGGCCATGGCCGCAAGGCTCTGGCCCATGCTATGAGCAAACGCCAGCTCAGCAACAGTTCGGAGCCGGCGGACTGCGTTGTACACGACCCCAACGATGTTGACGCCCCGAAGGACAACATCTGGAGTGGCTTGACCGGCCCCGAAGCCGCCGGCGTCACAGAGTGGCTGTTCGCTCAAACAGAGTTGAACCTCACACAGAGTGAGAACGCTACCTCATGGGACAATACCATGTAAGTGAACCAGATTCCTGGTGCACGAGACGCAAACTAACATCGGTAGTGTTCTTGTGGAGCTCATGGCCCCCAACAAGTCCGAAGCCCTGGCGTATATCGACGGTAGTGCTGCGGCCCCCGCCCGCTACGCCCACGTCTTGATCGACTTCAGCGCTTCCGAGGACCCTGAGTACCAGGACATCATCGTCGGTCCTCTTCCCGTCACCAACGGTACTACCAAGTGGGAGCGCCTTGACTATCCTTACACCCGCAAAACAAGTGGCCGTGTCCGCAACCTGGATGCCGATGATGATCTCTCCCAAGATTGGCTCTACGACGTCAGCAAGACTGTCGCAGACATCACCCTGGACCTATGGAACGCCACTGCTCTCGGTCTCGACAACGATACTCTCACCATCTGGGGCATTGACCCTTACTACCAGGATGACGGCCGTGTACAGCGCTGGGACACGTTCTGGAGCATCCCCAACACAATCTTCGACGTCGAGTCTATGATGCCCATGGGTCTTTTCTTCATGTCAGACGTCACCGGACGTGACCCTTCTCAATGGACCGTCGAGGGATGGTACTACAACGGCATCTTCTACGAGACTACTGAGGAGTTCCGCAACGCTTACTGGAGCGGAAAGGTCGAGAAGCTTGGCGGCAACTGGGCTGGAGACTGGTCTGCGACCGACCAGCAGGGCGAGATCCTCCCTCTTGACACCAATGCTCCGCCCACCTCAGTCGCCCCTCAGGGTGCCAGATACTCCGTGGACCCCGACAGGAAGTATGTCGAGTGGATGGGCTGGAGCTTCTACGTCGGCTTCACGCGCGACACCGGCATGGCCCTCTATGACATCCGCTACAAGGGCCAGAGAATCCTGTACGAGCTTGGCCTTCAGGAGGCCTTGGCACACTACGCCGGCAGCGACCCTACCCAGTCTCACGTTGCCTACCTCGACACGTACTACGGATTCGGCCCCTTCGCCTTCGAGCTTCTCAAGGGATACGACTGCCCGTCATACGCCACCTACCTGAACTCCTCCTTCTACGTCTCCGAGACAACCCACACCCACCTGAACAGCATTTGCCTCTTCGAGTACGACGCCGACTACCCGATGGCTCGCCACAGCTCGCAGGAGTACGTCACCGCCACCAAGAACGTCTACTTCACCGTTCGCTCCGTGTCCACCGTCGGAAACTACGACTACATGTTCAGCTACTCCTTCTTCCTCGACGGGTCTGTCGCGGTCGAGGTCCGCGCCTCCGGCTACATCCAGGCTGCCTTCTACGCCAAGAACGAGGGCTACGGCTTCAAGATCCACGACAACCTGTCCGGCTCCATGCACGACCACGTCCTCAACTTCAAGGCCGACTTCGACATCTTTGGCACGGAGAACAGCGTCCAGCGCATGCACCAGGTGCCCACTACCCAGGTCTACCCGTGGTCCAAGGGCAAGGCCCTCAACACCATGAAGGTCGAGCGCGAGTTCATCGAGAACGAGGACCAGGGCCGGTTCGACTGGAGCTACAACAACCAGGACCAGCTCTTCGTCCTCAACCAGGAGGTCAAGAACAGGCACGGCGAGTACCGCGCCTACCGCATCCTGCCTTACACCGGTCTCGCGCACCTGACGGTGAAGGACTCCAACGTCCTCAAGAATGCGGCTCGGTGGGCTGAGCAGGACATTATGGTCTCCGTCCGCAAGGACACCGAGCCCCGGAGCAGCCACCCGTACAACAACCAGGATGTCGAGAACCCGCCTGTCAACTTCAACGACTTCTTTGACGGCGAGAGCCTGAACCAGACGGACCTGGTGCTGTGGCTCAACCTCGGCATGCACCACGTCCCGCACACCGGCGACCTGCCCACCACAGTCTTCACCACGGCGCACTCGGGCATCCAGTTCATGCCGGCCAACTACTTCGAGGTCGGCCCCAACGTCGAGACGGTCAACATGGTCCGCATCAACTACCACGACGGTAACACCACGGACGTGTTGACCTTCGGAGCCGAGACCGATGCTTGCGGCTTGGATTATGAGCCCACTCAGGTGGACCTGTGGGAATACAAGGGTGATGTAGTCGTTCGCAAGTTTCCCTACTTGCCCGACGATCCTTATTATGAGACGGACAGCATTGTCTAGGTGATGCAGGTCTGAAATGTACATAATCTTAATGATCCTGGGATGAACATTCATGAGCATATGACAGAGACAAGGAGACGCAGAGAGAGAAGAGTAAGGCGGAGGAGAAGAAATGCGAAGCGGGGTTGGTGGGGGAATCAGGGGATGCATTGTCTTCTCATGATGAAATTACAGTAAAAATAATTCCTTCTTCCAGAAACAGCACGATGCAGAATGGAAGTTTGATCGATCGGAATGGCGTGATATCTGACCACTTGTTTATTCTGAGGCATGGAAAGTTCAACCGGTCGCAAGTTATTCCTGTCTTCATGGATACACCGTTGTGTCTGCCGACATATTAGCGCGAGTCGCAGTACAAAGTCGTGTTCCAGGGATCGGTCAGCCTCGGTTCACAATCTGTGTTGGGTATTTTCAACGCAAGAATGCGCAACCATCAACTAATTAAACAGGTTACAACTTTATATCAACGGTGATCCATGTTTCGCGTGTGCCTTTAGCGAACCACTGCCCAAAGCTGGAGAAAAATAGTAGCGACAGGATCTCGGACTCTGCAGTAAGACGACTGGTGCTGCAACCACATCGATGACTTCCACCAATCATGTCATTAAAGGCAGAGTTAAAATTGGAGATTCTGCCCGAAATAGGTATATTTTTCTGCTTTCCCCCTTCCTCAATGCCTCCCGTCCCCTCCCGTCTTGGTCTTGTCATCCACTCTCCCTAACAACGGTCAACATCCAAGGGAGCATGACAGGATCGACAGATCATCATCAGGGACGAAGAGGACGGGGTCTCCAGGAACAACGCAGGCGACAGCCCCGTCTTCACGCCTCGAAAATTCGAGACCGTGAGACCTGTCCCGATTGTCAGGTCATTGATCATCGATGATCGCCCGGAGCAGCCTCCGCGCGGAATCCACAACGTTCCTCGGTTGCAGCAAATATTGTGTCCCGGCCAAGCGGTCGCCCGTTCGCCCTACAGCAACAAGCGCCGGCCCCAACTCCCAGGTTTCCCCGGCTAGAAACATCACAGGCAGCAACAGGACCCCCCAAAACACATTCACGACGGTGTCGTCGATAATATCGCCGACGTGTCTTACGCAGAGAAACGGAGCATACCGTGCTGGCCCTAGCCGTCCATCCCTAGACGCCAAGTGACAGGTTCGCGAGTCCTCGGCAATCCCTTGAGACCTGGGCCGGCGTTGGCATTCCTGGCCCGGGCACTTTTTATTTTTTGACAGCTCCCACAACTGTCTCTCTTTCGGTGGATGTCTCCCGACGCACACACGAGATGGATTCTTAAGCTATGTGGCTATCTCATGTTTCTGTTTATGTCTCTTCTTCCCGCGCTAGTGCCGGTAGCGCATGTCCTAGATCATGTAGCGACCGGCGTCGATTGGCCCTCCAGCTCGTCCGTGGCGCCAGCAACCAACCCTCGGGTTGGGAGGACAAACGCGCCGCGGGGTGTACCAGACGATGTCACGTAACCTGGCGGAAGCTTGAAAGCGCCTCACTCGTGGAGGTCAAGTCTCCCCGCAAGAGGCTTACTGGCTTCCGCCTTGCCACATGCTTCTTCATGCTTCGCAATATCTCCAGCATTCTCTCTTACTGTCACTACCTTGGACTTGCATTAGCTCGGCGCATGATTTCACGATCCCATCACTGCGGCCATTTTTGGAACCCCAGCAACATCCGGGACAACGTCTTGTGTCTTACCAGCTAGACGTCGGGATTCACAGTCGTCATCGTCGGGCAGCAAGAGAGCTCCTCTTCTGCTCTCCCTCGATGCTGGGTGTTTCAGACATTCAGCTTGACAGGCCACATACGACTACCACTGCGAGGCACCGAGGTTCGAGATATGAGCATTCCGGCCAGCCTATCACATCTCAATCGCACGACAAACGGCAGTCTTCCCATAGTCTCCCATACCATCATCCCATCGTATCCCCCCGATGCTATCGAGGGGGTTCGAGATACGCCAGCGCCGCCCAGTCTGCGCCGAGCACGCGCATGAAGCCATCCAGCCACAACTTCGAGAAGCGACCTAGCGCGCTCTCTCCATGCCAGAGGCTGTCGTTCGGTGTCTGCCACTTCGGTGTCTGCCATGACGCTCCACGGCTAGCACGTCAAGGGCGGGAGACGGGAAAATGATAGGGCTCCACCCCAATGTCTCCGTTAGTAAACCAGGCACTACGGTGACATGTCTAGGAGAGACAGACGAGTTCACCTTATCGAGGCTATTACCACGGGGATTGAGCCGGTTTAGCTGGCTGTCAATCCGCCTCACCAACAGCGCTGTCTCAATGTCTCCGAAGGACCGGATCTGAAGGCGATGTCTCACGGTATCCATCTTTTCCATTTTCTTTTCTTTCTCAGGTCCCAGCCGCTCTCGTGTACTCACCGGCAAGATACCCTGCAATGATTGTGCTTTGAACCGCGGAACCGCGAGCAATGCCCTTTTCGAGGCTGCCCGTCTCGGCCAAGAAGCAACAATATTCAGCCCCGGGATCGCATCTTTGACTCCGATCCGAGCTATTCGGTCGAAAAAGCAATTACGAATCCACATCTTGACCAATCCATCTCACAGATCTGAGGCGTAAAGAAACCATGAAGCCGTGCGCTTGCCCGATCGGAAGAATCCGTCTCCAGAGAGCTGGGTTGGCTGCGCACCAACACACGCGCACCCAACACCCCGCCTGCATGTGCTCTTCTTTCTTTCAACAGCCAAGCCACGCAAGCCATGGTTCCTGATCGACTTCTGCACACCGAGATACAGGGCCAAGATAACCTCTGGCGCGCCACGTTGGGCCCGGCGATGCCTGTCTGTTCTGCTGGAGGAAAAAGCACACTGCATGGGACGAACACACCCTAGTCTCGGCAGCCAATCCCCTTTCAAGCGCACTCCCTCCAGCTTTCTGAACTGAACCTCCCACCCCATCCATCCATCTCACACCCAACCACCTCCCCTCTATTTTTGTGAGACTACCGGCTTGGCCGCACCCATTCCGACGGGACCTTTCAGCCGTCGACGCAACCGTGCCTCTCGAGGCGTACCTTCTTTTCTCCCACTACGCCACGTGACTAGAGTGCCTCCACGGCTTTTCGACCTCCCTCGTCCAAGTTTAGCTGTACCCGTCGATGGGCGCCGGGGCAAGGCCGGGGTCCTCGTGCCTGGGACGATGGGCCCAACCCAACGTCGCCGGGTTCTATTTTGGCTGCGGAGACTATTCTTCAGGCGTGGCGCTCACCCATGGCATCTACCGGTGGGCACCACATGTGACGGGTCATGAAGGCATTCGCCCTTTAGCATCAAGAAGGGGGTCTATATCAGGCCATCAGGGCCGGTCTCCCTTGGTGATCTTCTTTTCCCCATCACACCAGAATCAAAAAATCCAAGAACACCATTTCCTAGTCACTTTTTCCTATCTCTTTTCCTTTTTCTCTTATTTCCTTATTTCTTTTGTCTTCTCTATATCTTTGGCTTATTTCCTCATCTCCCATCACTTCGTCATCTCCTGTTCCGATCTATTCTCATCGTCCTCTTCCGTTGACTTTGAGCTGTCCTGCTTGTAAGTTGTCCTATGCATGATGAGGACCATCGAGCCACTGTACTAACAGAACCATCAGTTCTTCCCTTACCCTCGCCGACCATGTCTTCCAATTCCGCCATGGCTTCCTCTATCACTCTTCCAGTCGAAGAAGTGCACCATGTCAGCCCTGAGCTTTCTCTTACACCACCTGCGAGGGCCTTCTTCCCGATGAACAGCTGCAACTCTTCAACACACACCCTCGTTGTTCCGGAACCCCCTCACGAAGCCCCGACGTCCGTCGCTTCAACCCACGATTCCGACGACGATGAAGACGAGATCACCGTTCCCGATAAGAAAGGCAACCGGGCCTACCGGTATCTGCGCTGGAACTTTGGCTCCGTCTACCGTCGCATCTTCACCTTCGCCTTCCTCGCCAACATCGCGTGCCTCATCTTCGTCATCCTCAACTCCGTCCTCACCGGCGCCGCCCTGACTCCCCAGACCTGCGCCACAGCCGTCTCCGCCAACATCCTCGCGGCCCTCTTCATCCGCAATGAACACACCGTCAACGCAATGTTCAAGGTCTTCGTCCTCTTCCCCGCCAAAGCTCCTTTGTCCGTCCGCCGCGCCTTCGCAAAGGTCTACTCCTACGGTGGCATCCACTCCGGCTGCGGCATCGCCTCCTTCTTCTGGTTCGTCCTCTTCCTCGTCGTCCTCACCGCCGAAATGGACCGCCCCAGCTCCGCCCTGCGCGCCTACATCCTCCTCGACAGCTACCTCATCGGCCTCCTCCTCTTCCTGATTATCGCCTTCGCCCACCCGCGCGCCCGCGTGCTCCTGCATAACTGGTTCGAGGGCACCCACCGCTTCCTCGGCTGGTCCGTCGTTATCCTCTTCTGGGCCCTCGTCATGATGCTCGCCGAGGACTCCAGCGACGCCGCCAACATCCCCTACGCCGCCTCCGTCGTCATGACTCCGTCCTTCTGGATGCTCATCGTCATCACCGCGCTCGTCGCCTACCCCTGGACCCGCCTGCGCCTGCGCGACGTCGAGGCCGAGGCCATGTCCGCCCACGTCGTCAAGCTCAACTTCGACTACGCCGACGTGCACTACGGCCAGGCCGTCCGCCTCACCGACGCGCCGCTCCGCGAGACGCACGCCTTCGCCGTCATCCCGAACCCCGCCGCCCCGACCGCCGCCGACGCCGAGAAGGGCCAAGTCAACGGACTCAGCAACGCCGGCAAGAAGGGCTTCTCGGTGCTCGTGTCGAACGCCGGCGACTGGACAGACAAGATCATCAAGAACCCGCCCAAGAAGATCTGGACGCGCGGCGTCCCGCAGTACGGCGTGCTCCGCGTGGCCGGGCTCTTCGAGCCCTGTATCGTAATTGCCACCGGCTCCGGCATCGGCCCGTGTTTGAGTCTGTTTGTGCAGAAGCCCAACCACCCGGTGCGCATCATCTGGTCCACGCAACGGCCCGTCGAGACGTACGGACAGGCGGTGATCGACACCATCTACAAGGCCGACCCGAACGCCGTCATCATCGACACCAAGAAGACGGGCCGTCCCGATCTGGTTGCGATTACGTACCGGATCTGGGAGAGCAGCCGGCGCCAAGCGGGTATTGCGCAGATTGAGAACACTGCCGGCAAGAACATGGGTCCTTGTGAGGCGGTGGTCATCATTTCCAACCAAAAGGTGACGAGGAAAGTCGTTTACGGGCTTGAGAGCAGGGGCATTCCTGCCTACGGTGCGATTTTCGACTCTTAGACGGGGTCTGGGGTCAACCGATGAAGGGATCAAAAGGGATAAAGCAGGCGTTTCTTTTTCATTTCAGGTGGCTTTCCTCGGAGACCGCATGCATCAGCACGGAGTTTGGCATAGCGGGCATCAGCGACACATAGACTTGGGCTCATTTACTGATCTTCTCTCACCCACTCATTAAGTTTTACAATACCATTGCAATTTTCATTCAATCTCATGAATCAGTTTTGAAACTCAATAATCTTCCTTTTGGGTGACGTTTGACTGTGGGTAAGATGTTTGAATCACGAAAATGATATTTGGAGAGCAGCCGAATGGTTGATAGTCCAGAGTTCAGCGTCTGTGGTCATCAGCCAATCACGGCACCCATCTGGTCGGTTAGCTCAGTTGGTTAGAGCGTGGTACTAATATCTCATCTGAGATGTTGAGTAATGCCAAGGCCGGGAGTTCAAGCCTCCCACTGATCATTGTTTTTGTTTTTGCACTTAATCTGCATAAGGTATGCAAAATCGTAGGAACGGGGGACACTCTCATTTAATAATGATGATGATGATGCTGTTAGTGGGTGGCATTCAGATCGGATGGAGGAAGGTTCGGCCCACGTTCCGCCAAAGGAATGAATGCTTGTGGGGGGAAGCACCTACCAGCGATTGAAATACAGCACCTCACCTTCCCTATTTCCCGCCCTTTCCCTGTGCCATACTTCAGCCAAACTTCAACCTCTCATCACCACAATCATCAACTTGTTTGTCCTCGAACGCTAAAGTACGACTTACCGACCATCGTTAGACTCGGATCTCGGCATCCTCACTCTTGGCTACTGCCTAGGAGCCCTGAGTCAATGAACAGCCGTCGATTGCCGCATCTCTGGTAGCCCTTACCGACTCGGACCAAGAGATCACGTCGACGACTAACGACGGCCGATCCTACGGGAGCGTTCACCAGGCCCGGAATCCAATAAACGGTTCGACCATCATTGGCTTCTGCTCCCTTTCGCCCTGTCTCGACCCAACAAACCAGAGACAAAAGATCCTCCTCCTCTCTCGTCACGAACACCCAAGCAAGACAATTCCAGCCTCGGAACTCACTCCCGCTTGCTTATTGCGGCTCACCAGCAAGCACCCGCCCTGTCGCGCCGCCAGTGTGTCTGGTGTCATCCGTTTGTCATCGTCCCAGGCACCGAGCAATCTACAAGTTGGGCGTGTGTCACCTCCACGAGGCGGTCAAAGCTTGGTCTCTCCAATCACCGACTGTCTTGCGTGCTTGGCTTCGGTCGAGGCAGTACCGCAACGTCGCATCGCGGCCAGCCGAGATGAAGACTCTCTGCGCCCAGAATACCCGCGTTCCGTGCCTTAATGTCTCCTTTCTGGGCACCAACACACCCATTCAACCGGCGCTTCACCAACCTGCCCAGCAAGGATTGCCACAATCCACGCCCGACATATCCAACATTCAAGATTTTGAGCTGAATAATGCTCCGACAATAATTCGTTCGACTTCCGGTTGACTTTCCCCCTTGACGGGCGTGGCCGAGACTTGACTCTCAATACCAGACACTACGCCGCCCAAACCCCTGGGTTTTCGCAAGGACGCTTTCTTCTGAATGGACCCCCGCAATCTATCACAAGCCCCCCGGCGTTTTTCTCGACGCTTGGAGTCTTGGCCCGGAATACGCCTTCACATCCACTGCAGGGACCCGGCAGACAAACGAACGCATCGGAGACCTCGCGCCCATGAGTGATGCTGGTTGAAAGCTGTCGGGGTTGCATCCAGCTCCTCGCGTGCAGCCCAAGGGACCCCAGCTGACGGCCAGGAGGCCCCGTTCGATTGGGAAGCGCGGCTCGAATTGCCGGCGCGCAACGTGGGGTAGCGCCTTCGTCTGCCTCCGCGTTCCCGTTCCTGGACATGGCGGCCATGCGCTGCACGCCTTTTTCAACCTCACTCCAACAGTCCCGAGACATTGCATCTTGGGATCCAGAGTTTTGGGTACTATGCCGTTCCAAGTCCAGAGTCTCGAGCTGTGTTCAAAAAATCCAGATGCAAGAGTTCTCCTTGCTGCGCATGTTTCTTTTTTATCAGCATTAGTTCGTCTCATGTGCAAACTCCCGTCCCGCGTCTAATGCCATCCCCCTTCATCTGATTTGCTGTTTCTCCTCATGCCTCTGGTAGATTAGCTATCCTGGATCACCCCCGGTCATGAGGCTTGACCAACAAAGGCAATCAGCAATGTTACATTCCGTTGGCAGACTTTCAACCCCACCACCACGTCTTCGACCGCACTCCCTCCATGGATCAGACAAACATTTCCTCCTATCAGCGGATTCGCATACCATGCATTCCATCCACAATCAAATCAACCGTGACTGGACGAGCCAGATTGCGGGATTCTGTGGTCATGTGGCAGCGGTGCCAACATTGGGACATCTCATCTGGCTGAAAGAAGAAAGTCGCAGAGGAGAAGAGGGAGGCAAAGTGATATGATGGGCAGGGGGAATGCTTGGCAGATGGTGAGAAGATGTCGCCCCTTTAAATATTGCCTCTCCCATCTGCGAGTTGCAGAGAGTCGATTACGGTTTTGGTTGTTAGACCTTTGTTGACGTTGACGTCCGGCACCATGAAGTTCTTCGGTCGCAACGGTGCTCTGGCAGCCCTCTTGGCGGCTTCGCCGCGTACGTGACCGAGTCTCCCAACCAAGACTTCCGCTAACATCATCACTTAGTCCTAGAAGGAGTTGCAGCTCAGGCCTCGACTCCAACAACCTACACCGACCCTACAACCGGGATCATCTTCAGCACATGGTCTGCTACGACTGCCCAGACTGCCGGCGGCCTGACGTACGGTTTCGCCCTACCTCAAAATGCACTCACGGTGGATGCCAACGAATATGTTGGCTATCTTGTATGTTATCGCCGTTTCTCAAATACGCCCTACTCGATGCTTACAAAGTGAACAGCAATGCGCTTCCAAGAATGGCCAAGGTACCGGTTGGTGCGGTATCTCCCTCGGCGGTACGATGACAAACAAGCTACTTGTGATGGCATGGCCCAACGGCAACGAAATCCTCACCTCCTTCCGCTGGGCAACTGGCTACGACATGCCGGCCGTCTATGCCGGTGACGCCAAGCTCACCCAGATCTCCTCGACCATCAATGCCACCCACTACACCCTCATCTATCGCTGCCAGAACTGCTTCCAATGGAACCACAACGGTGCTACTGGTAGCGTCAGTACCTCGGCTGGCTCCATGGTTCTTGGCTGGGCACAGGCGTTCAGCAGCCCGACCAACCCAACCTGCCCGGCCAACATCGTTCTTGCACAACACGAGAACCAGAACATCCACGGGACCTCGCTCAACAGCGACATTGCTAACCCATCGTACTCTGCCTGGGCTGCCCTGGCCACCAAGACTGTCACAGGTAGCTGCGGTGGAGGAAGCACATCCACGTCCGTTCCGACTGCGACGTCGACTGCGGCCCCAGGTCCTACTGGTGTCCCTGTCCCCTCTCAGTCTTACGACTACATCGTGATTGGTGCTGGAGCTGGCGGTATTCCTTTGGCTGACAAGCTGAGTGAAGCCGGCAAGAGCGTGCTGCTCATCGAGAAGGGTCCTCCATCTTCCGGCAGATGGGGTGGCACTATGAAGCCTACTTGGCTTACTGGCACCAACCTCACCCGCTTCGATGTGCCTGGACTTTGCAACGAGATCTGGGAGAACTCAGCCGGTATCGCCTGTCAGGACACTGACCAGATGGCGGGCTGCGTCCTTGGTGGTGGAACAGCCATCAACGCTGCGCTTTGGTGGAAAGTCAGTTTCATCCTTTCGCTGGTTATTGCGTATCACTAACTTCGTCTAGCCGTATTCTCTGGACTGGGACTACAACTTCCCCACTGGCTGGAAGTCATCAGATGTAGCTGCTGCCACATCGCGGGTATTCTCCCGCATTCCGGGGACCACCACTCCGTCTCAGGACGGCAAGGTCTACCTCACGGCTGGCCGCGATGTCATTTCGACCGGTCTTAAGTCTGGAGGCTGGACTGAGCTCGACCTCAACGCGAACCCTAACTCCAAGAACCGCACTTTCGGCAAGACGCCGTACATGTACTCAGGAGGCGAACGCGGTGGACCCATGGCGACGTACCTCGTGTCTGCCAGCAAGCGCTCCAACTTCAAGCTGTGGATGAACACCGCCGTGAAGCGTGTCGTCCGTACCGGCGGCCACATCACTGGTGTTGAAGTCGAGCCATACCTCAGTGGAGGATACCAAGGGACTGTCAACGTAACCGCGGTTACTGGCCGAGTGATTCTGTCAGCCGGGACGTTCGGCAGTGCGAAGCTGCTGCTACGCAGTGGAATCGGACCAAAGGACCAGCTTGACGTTGTCAAGAGCTCCACCGATGGGCCAACGATGATATCGAACAGCTCGTGGATCACACTTCCCGTTGGCTACAACCTTGAGGACCACACCAATGTGAGTTGACCGACAACGTGGCAATTTGGAGGAAACTGACTGGCGACAGACTGATCTGGTGGTTTCGCACCCTGCTGTGGAGTTCTATGACTTCTATGAGGCGTACGACGACCCCAACGTTACTGACAAGAACCTGTACCTCAACAAGAGGAGTGGTATCTTGGCTCAATCAGCGCCCAACATTGGGCCTCTGTAAGTTGCCCGTTGCGAATCTTGAGACTGCCACTGACGCCATGACAGCTTCTTCGAGGAACTCAAGGGTGCCGATGGCATCACTCGCCAGCTTCAGTACACTGCCCGCATGGAGGGCAGTCTGGGTGCTCCCAATGGAAGTCAGTCCTCCCAACCTGCTCACTCGATTGGCATGATAGCTGACCTTCCCCACAGAGTCCATCACGATCAGTCAATATCTCGGACGCGGCGCAACCTCCCGTGGCAGAATGACAATTCAGGGCAACCTCGGTACCGTTGTCTCGACCGTGCCCTACCTTAGGGACCAAAACGACGTCGAGGCCGTCATCAAGGGCATTGAAAACC